GATAGTTCTTGATTTTTAAGTAATACATGGATAATGGATACCCTAAGTTAAAATGAGATCCCGGTATGCAATCATTGATCAAGATGGTGCAAGAGGTAAGTCTTAGGTAGCCTTGATTTTTTTGGTAATCTATGTGCTACCTTAAGACCAAGGATCAAGAAGATAGTAGTTTTGATTTTTAAGTAATCAATATGCTACCCTAAAGCTAAGGATTAAAAAGTCCGTTCTCCTTTACTATTGATTTTCTAGTAAATCAATCTGCTACCCCACCGCCATGAATCAAGAAAGGAAACAATCTTTATGGATAGCCTTTGATTTTAAAGTGGTTACGAGACTACCTTAAGGACTTGACTCAAGCCAAGTATACCACACCCTAAAGTAGCATTACAGAAGTCGAGTCCATTAAGACATGAAGACTCTTAGGTACCACGTGAAACAAGAACCAAGAACAAACCTAAGTTCTCCGACAAGAATAAGAACAAGTCAAGAAAGAGTGTGGTACGCTATTATACCTTAAGAACATGATTAAAAACCTACAAGTAGGCTACTTACTGAGTCTTTGTATTTATTCAAGTTTTCTCATGTTTTTTCAGGCGACAAGAAGAAGTTGGTTAAGAATGAATGTAGATCGGGAGCAGGAGCCGTACAGTATTTAAACTTTAACATGGATTTGTAAATAAATATACTTATGTTCGGTTTTAAATGCAATATTTTACTTGGTCTTTCAAGTTCTTATTAAAATAGTATCGACTCGAGTGAGAAAAACTGAGTCGTGACATCTTTCTATCATGTATCATCGAAAGGATATTATAATTCCACAACATAGAATCGCATAACATGGAATAACATAGTATACTGGTTATTAATGTAATATGTATTGTGGGTAAGTAGAATTTTTTTAAGGTAATTAAAAACAAAACCCGACAACTCAACGAAACTCATCTTGAAAAATAGAGGATTGAGTTGAGTTGGGTTGTGAGCTCTGTTACTCGAGTCACCGATCCAACCAACCTAAAATTTTGGGTCTGTCCAAAAGATGTCATCAACTCAATTCAACGTTACTACTGATAACTTTTTATCCACAATTTATAATTATTGGGATACAATCTTGGATAAAAGGTATTAAAAGTTCAAAACACTAATCAATCTATAAAAAAAAAAACAACGAGCAAAAATTATAACATATTAACATAGTTCAACATTGTTATAAAACTAAAGACAACTAAATACCGACATTTCTTGAGAATTCGTTCAAGTGAGAAAAATATAAGAATAGATCCTAAAATTAAATAAACAATACAATTGAGTAGTTTAAAGACATGGTATATAACAAAAAAATAATTGAAATATGCTAATTGACATTAGAGAGTCTTAAACTATTAAAAAAATAAAAAAATATATATAAATTGTGATATAATAATATTGCAACAAATAAATAATAAATACATTAGAATATAAATACTACGTATAAATCATAATTAATAAACCTAAACAAAATAATATGAAAGAAACATGTATTTGAAACTCAAGCATGAGTGTTCTTAGACTTAGCAAAGTAACACTCTGACAAAAGATACATGTATTAGACTAAGCACGGGCTTATGACAGGCCAACCATTAATAAAGATTCTTAATATATTTTATATGTTTTTATGACAGGCGTCAAACTCGAGCATGAGTGTCCTTAGACTAGGCAAAGTACCACCCTGGCAAACCGATTAATACAGAAGATTCTTAATACCACTCTCGCAAACCCATTAATACAGAAGATTCTTAATACCACTCTGGCGAACCCGTTAATACGGAAGATTATTAATACCACTCTAGCAAATCGAGAGATTCTTAATACCACCCTGCCAAACCCATTAATACAAAAGATTCTTAATACCATTCTGGCAAACCCATTAATATAGAAAGATTAAACTCGAGCATGGCAAAGGCATTAATACAAAAGATTCTTAATACAATTCTGGCAAACCCATTAATATAGAAAGATTAAACTCGAGCATGGCAAAGTACCTCGGGCAAACCCACTAATACAAAAGATTCTTAATATATTTTAAGAGGTTGGTCCAGGTTGTCGGGTTGAGTGTACACCCCTACTGCTAAGGGAAGGTCTCCACACTTTTATAATCTGGCAAACCCATTAATACAAAAGATTCTTAATACCACTCTAGCAAACCCATTAATATAGAAAGATTAAGACTCGAGCATGGCAAAGTACCTCTGGCAAACCCAACTCATTAATACAAAAGATTCTTAATACCACTCTGGCAAAACCCAACCCATTAATACAAAAGATTCTTAATACCACTCTGGCAAACCCAACCCATTAATACAAAAGATTCTTAATACTACTCTGGCAAACCCATTAATATAGAAAGATTAAGACTCAAGCATGGCAAAGTACCTCTGGCAAACCCATTAATACAAAAGATTCTTAATATATTTTAAGAGGTTGGTCCAGGTTGTCGGGTTGAGTGTACACCCCTACTGCTAAAGGAAGGTTTCCGCACCTTTATAAAGAGTATTTTGTTCTCCTCCCCAACCAATGTGGGACATCACAATCCACCCCCACTTCCCTTTGGGGCCGAGGATCCTTACTAGCACACCGCCTCGTGTCTACCCCCCTTCAAGGAACAGCGAGAAGGTTGGCACACTCTTTGGGCTTCCCCAGATCCACCGCTAGCAGATATTGTCCTCTTTGGGCTTTCCTTCTCGAGCTTCCCCTCAAGGTTTTAAAATGTGTCTGCTAGGGAAGGTTTCCACACTCTTTGGTGTTTTGTTCTCCTTCCCAACCAATGTGGGACATCATAAGCGAGAAGGTTGGCACATCGTCCGGTGTCTGGCTCTGATACCATTAGTAACGGCTCAAGCCCACCGCTAGCAGATATTGTCCTCTTTAGGGTTTTCCTCTCAAGGCTTTAAAATGCGTATGCTAGGAGAAGGTTTCCACATCCAAAGGGTGTTTTGTTCTCTTCCCCAACCAACGTGGGACATCACATATTCTTAATATGATATTAGAAAATCTCATTGCTATTACTCAAAAATGCATGAATCGTAGGTTGTGTATTCGTCTTTCGGTCCAAATCGAATATATAACTATGGAAATAATTGTTAAGATACAGTCGAAAATCTATATGGGCCAGGAGGTCTTATAGAGTGGCTATTTGTTTATAGCCCACATTCCAAAGGCCATATGTGGTAGGCCATCCAGACAATCTCATGTGTTCGGTATTGTGACCTTTAGTGGGTTTTGTGGAGCCAAATTGAACATCCTAGTATGCATGACCGACCCAGGGAAGAGCGTCGTGAACGTATCACAAAATTAGATATAGCCACATTGTAATTTCTATAGAGTTGACAAGCTTACTTTGAGCGAAAGCTTAGAATGATATTTTGCTCGGAAATGTCGTGGTCATCAGGTGCTGAATTTGGATTTCAAATTCTGATTCGAATTTGTGTGTGGGTCGTTACAAATGGTATCAGAATGATACCTCTCTCAATAGGATGCGGCAAAGGGACAAACCAAAATGAAAGTTGATGGGCGTGGAGACATTGCAAACAATGCATGTGGATGTAGAAAGTGTCAAGAAAGCAAAGATGTAGACTGTGAAGAGTGAATTCGAGGCTATCCGCATGAAAGAAGGTGAGTCAATAGATGATTTTGCGATGAAGTTGACGACAATCGTTAGCGACATCCGTTTGTTAGACGATAAGGTGGAGGAGATCTCCGTCGTCAAGAAGTTTCTTTGAGCTATCCTCCCGAGATTCATGCAGATTATTAACTCTATCGAGTAATTCGGCAACCTCAAGAACATATCCGTTGAGGAGGTTGTTGCTCATCTTAAGGTCCATAAGGAGAGATTTCGGGACTACGATGACTGAGAGGAGGAGAAGCACTTCTTACTCACACACAAGGAGTGGCTCGCACGGACAAAAAAAAAAAAAAAAAAAAGATGCAGTTGCTTCTTCCTTTTCAGGAATGAATGGACGTGGCAACCACAACAAAAAAAATAAAAAAATAAAGGTCATCGGCATGGTTGGGGTCATGGCCACAGACATGGTGGTCATGATAATACATCACAAATCCATGACAAGGTCAACCCTTGGAAGGACAAGAATATGATCAATTGTTACTCTTGTGAAAATACACGCACTATGGGGTAGAGCATTGTATGAATAAGCTCGATGAGGAGGCAAATCTCATACTCATACATGATCAAGAGCCCACAGTGATGTTGGTCGATAAGATGCCCAACCTGTTGATGCTCAATGAAGAGAAGGTTATGGCAAACCTTCTCACAAAAGTAGAAGATCGAGTCGAGACCAACATGTAGTATCTAGACAATGGAGCAAGCAACCACATGACTGAAGATCGAGTAAAGTTCAAGGAGCCTTATGAGAAGCTCATTGGAAATGTGAAGTTTGGTGATGGATCAATTATGCTGATCCAGGGTAAATGATCTATCTTGTTCCAGTGCAAGAATGACGACCAACGTCTATTGACCAAGTATATTATATCCCAAGTTTGAACAGTAATATTATCAGTCTTAGTCAAATGACAAAAGAAGGTAGTATAGTGGAGTTAGTCAGCTCGTTACTCAAGATATTCGACAGAAATGGAGCCCTATTAATGAAGGTAAAACGGTCACAAAACTGTCTATATAAGATGCTATTGAAAGACCATCAACATCTTCCAAAAGTATCTATGGACGTTAGGAGCAAAAATAAATAAATAAATAAATAAGAAGAAACCAATGGGTCGGGAGAAAAGGAAATCGAAGAACAAATCTAAGAAAAGACCCAAGGCTGCTTCAATCATAAGTGTAACCTAGAAGTCGATGTATTTCATTAGACGTATTATCTCAACCAAAGAGACCTAGAGGACGGTCATGGAGGCGTAAAAAAAAACCGGACTTCAAACTTGGCATGTACAATTAAATTACAAAAAAAAAAAAAAAAAAAAAAAAAAAAAAAAAAAAAACCTAAACTTCTCCCTCTATTACAAAATATACTTACACTAATGGCAATATTATCTAACTTTTCATGAACGTTTTAAAACTACTCTTAGAATATAAATTTGTTATAAGAACGTTGGACATACAAAGACCTCAAATGATGTGAACGGTGACCCAAGACAGAAATCGAAACGTGAACACTACCCCACGAATCTTAGGCCACCTCCACGCTCATTCTAGCTTCTCAACTTTCATCCAAAATTCTAATCGATTTATATTCGAATAGTAGTTCTGAAACAGGATCAAGAGTAATATCGCAACTCTAAACCGAACATCTACTCGCCTTACGTGCGTTTAGGCACCAACCCAGTCCAACATCGACCTTGATTATATTGTTCGTGAGTCATAACGTTATCGTTGTTATGGCTATCTGAGTTTGAAGCCTCTCCATGTGTCAACAATGGCGGATAATCTGCAAATGAAAGTAACTATTTTACCACAAAGATCATATATATTCATAAACATTTTTGCAAAGAGAAAAATTGATAAGTTGAAATACCATTATCAAAAATGAAATGGTAGTCATGGCCTCCAATAATTGCTTCGTAATTTCCCGTCAAACGTTCCTAGTTTTTATAACACGTATCGTACGTTAATATATCGGTCTAACAAATCAAACCCAATAGTTATACGAGCCAGTTATCTATAAAAGATAAGATAAAAGACCACAAATGTAATGTCTACGTTGTCATGCAGAGTGTCTGTGAGTCAATAAGCTTGAGTTATACTTGATTTAGTTAAAAAGTGACTCAAGTATCGAACAAATAGTGTACTTTGTTCGAGGGCTCCAGAGAAATGAGTCGAGCCTCAATTAAGGGGAGGCTGTTCGAGAGCTCTATAGGCCTCAGGGGAGGCTCCATAGTGTACTTTGTTCGAGGAGAGGATTGTTGAGAATTGTTGGGAGGGAAGTGGACAATATCATACCATTGTGGAGAGTCGTGATTCCTAACATTCAATCCAATTCAAACCGTTCAAAAAGAAAATTATGAGCGTAGGAAACCAAATTCGTTTGGTTCAATCCTTGTTCAAGTTCGAACTGAATCGAATCGATGAAAGACAGATATTCACTCGAGAGAAAGAGAAGAGAGAGACCTGAAAGGTTGGAGGGTAAGATACCAAGTCTTGAAGTTGGCCATCAAATTGTAGTCCATCGCTTTCACTACAATTCTTCGGCTCACTAACCTCCGAGTTCATGTCGAAAGCTTCACCTCCCATGGCTTCATTTCCCATCGAACAAACCCTAAAGCTCGGATTCGAGGCCATGGAGGCTATAAAGGCATCACATTCTAAAGCGTTATTAACCATCCTTTTCCATGTATTTTGCGGGACTCTCCCTCCTAGAAGCTGCATGCATGAATTATCGAAACTAAGAAAACATATTTGCTAAAACTACAGCACCTAAATGGTGGTGAAAGTTCGTTTATAATCATTTATATAATCAAATAAATTACAAATAAAATTGAAGAAATAATAAATGGATAGCTAATATGATATTAAACCGTGATGGAAGACAAAATATCTTCAATCATACAACATATTTGTCTGTAATAAAAGGTCATATACATATACATATACATATACATACAAATACATATACACATACATATATACATATACATATACATACATATATATACATATACATATACATACACATACACATTCATACATATACGTATACATATACATATACACACACATATACGTATACATACATACATATACATATACATATACATACATATAGATACATATACATATACATATACATACATATACATATACCTACACGGATACATATACATATATATATACATATACATATATACATATATACATATAGTAAACCATAATTGAGGACTAAATATGGTTACCTTTCTGACGTAGATTGGACCCTTTTTGTGATAAGCGTTCAAAAAATCATCGACATTTTTTATGCCTTCAGAGGATAAACGATTGTGGTACACGCCATCTTTGCCAATGCCTTCCAATCGCCATATTTCATCTTCCCTACTCGGCGGGTGGTGCTTCTTGTAAACTAATGTCGTAACCAAAAGGAATTTTTTTATTAATTAACATGATCTAAGATTGATTAAGATTAGCTATAATCATTTTTTTATAAAGACAGTGATTGATATTTGTCGTGGTCCATCGCGATGGACCACGACTAATGTCAATTTGAGTCTATCATTATAAATTACGTCTAACGTCAATTATAGAGCATCGCTAACGTCAAAAGCAGTCAGTGACAATGATTGATATTAGTTGTGGTCTATCGCTATGGACCACGACTAATGTCAATTTGAGTCTATCATTATCTAACGTCAATTGTTTATACCAACAAACTATAGTTGACATTGACTCTAGTCTATTTGATAGAGCATCCGTCAAATGCAGTCAGTGGTGGTAAACTAAAGGTGTTCATATGATCCGATAATCCGACCAATCTAGACTACCGAATTCGAACATAAAAGTTGGGATGGGTTGGGTTGAATTTGTGAAGAACCGAAAATTTAGCTTCGTTTGCAGGTTCACATTTCTTTGGTCGAGTTACTCGAAAATAGAGTTACAACTCAACCCAACCTAAACATTTTTTTTTTCGTAACTGATGTTAGAACGAGGTTTTAGTTATTAATATAACATATACCGTGAATAAGTAGAATCTTTCTAAAAGAATTAAAAAATAACCCGACAACCCAACATAACTCAGAAATAGAGGGTTGGGTTGTGAACTCTATTCAGGTTGCTTAGATCACCAACCCAATCAACCTGAAATTTTCGGTTGGTTCAAAAGATTTTTTCAACCCGCTTAATCTAACCCATGTACACCCCTATGATAAACTACAACTAAAATTTCTCGTGGCCTATTGGGATAAATTACCGTTGACATCAATTCTGATGGAATCACCAAAGAATCTGTAGTCATAGACCACGGTTCTCGTTAGTCATGCTCTAGTACTAGACCATGACAAACGAGAGTGCTCTAACCAATAGTCGATACAAGAGAACCATAGTAGTCCCTACGACCGATTTTAAAACATTATTAAAAGTACAGTGACTAAAATGAAATAAGTTTAAAGTATTGGATCAAATATCGTTCGAGAAAAATAGGGTTAAAAACGACATACCTTCCCCACGATGATCCATCACTCTGAACGGTTTCGAAACAGCTTCCACAATTCTTGGAAACTTAGCCAAGATGTTCTTATCAACAACTTTTGCTCCCAATCTAAACTTCTTAGACTTAGTCCAGCTCGAATTGTCACTAAAGCTCAAACCTTTGATGAATCCAACCCCATTTTTCAAGCAAATTATCATATCATTCCCCACGATCAAAGGCCTTTTCCCCTCTCTTTTAGAAACAACATTGTTGTTAAAATCGCTCGAAGTCCACGAACTTTCGTCTACTCGTTGGTCGGAGCCGAATTCTAAATTGAGTACGACCAACTCGACCAACGCCGACGATAAAGGACCTGTCTTGATGATGCCATTGGAGTTGGTGGTATCACACATTGCAACTAGAAGTGGCTTGCCATTTCTTGCTTCTATTTCATTGTTGGTGAAAATTGTTGGAGATGTTTGATTCAAGAACAATAGCTTGAACTTTGAAGCTCCAAACCCATTTATTGTTTCTTCTTTTACAATATGAATGCTAAGCTGGCTGTTTATGATCATGAAATTGATTGAATTTGATGAACAAAAAGGGTTTAAGAAGGAAACCCATGTGGATTAATATCAATTTAGTTCAAGAATGGCATACCTTGATAGAATGGAGTGAATGTAATAATTAACTTGGAGCTCCACCACCTCATGCACCTATAGAAAATTATCAATATGGTAATTTTGATTTTGATTTTGTTCGATTTATTAATCGTAGATCATCTCTAGGAGAAGTTATTGGTAACTCTCTCGTAAGTTATATTGTAACTTGAGACTTACCATTTTGGCCCGTTAGGTATCATTGTTAGTCTCACGGTTTTAAAACTCGTGTGTTCGGGAGAGGTTTTCACACCCTTATAAGGAATGTTTTGTTCTCCCCTCTAACTGAAATGGGATCTCACAATCCACCCACTTGAGGGACAGCATCCTCGCTAGTACACTACTTGGTGTCTGGCTTTGATACCATTTGTAACAATCTAAGCCCAATACTAACAGATATTGTCTGCTTTGGCCCGTTACGTATTGCCGTCAGCTTCATAGTTTTAATACGCGCCTATTAAGGAGAGGTTTCCACATCGGAATGTTTCGTTCTCCTCTCTAACCGATGTAGGATCCCACAATCTACTCCCTTGGAGGTTAACGTTCTCGTTGGCACACCACTCTGTGTCTGGCTCTGATATCCCAACCCTGAGAGAGAGAGAGAGAGAGAGAGAGAGAGAGAGAG